TATTACGAGTCGATGAAGATGTACATCTTATAGGAATTTGCAGTATATATATGTATAAGAGAGATATTTTCTATTTGTAAATATTACGGTATATTTATAGAGTAAGTATCAATAGTGGTTAGAAGCTCTGGTTTTGCTAGCAAGCGCGTACATACGTTAGCTGTGGTATAACGTACATGAGAAAGCGAGATCTCTTACGGGAAAGCCGTTAAGGCCGTTTCGATGGAGCCGTTCGTTCTTTAGACGACTTACTCGCTAAAGAGAAACCGTGATCAGAGAAGATCTCATGCTGCCACTGCCACCACAGTTGTCGACGGTCCACGTCTAAAGGTCGTGAAAATGTCAACAAACGAGCTCCGGACAAGGACGTTTGAATCAGTTACAATCGTGGAGCAAGAGCAAGATGCGTTTTTCACGATTTAGTTAGCATACCGATGAATATAAATATTTTTAATAAATGTCTATCATTACTTTATAGGTCCCTTTTTTAATTTACTTTTATTGGTTTATTAAAGTCATCTTGTATCGAATATTAACTCTCAATTGACAAGTATTAGAAAACTGGTTTCAAGTGACATAAGGAAAATACTTTATGAATTATGTCATAAATATCAGGAAATACGCTATTTCATTAGCATGCGATGTTAGACTTGTGTTTTATATCAAAATTTGTATAATTTCTTCAAAATTAAATATGAAATAAAAATTCGATTAATTCATTCGAAATTGTTTATCTAGGCTAATAAATGGCATTTTAATATTAACCCTTTCGCTATTACGAGCGGCTATAGTCGCTCCCGCTAAAGATGTCGCGTAATTGTATATATGATAAGCGCCTGCAGTTACTATGCACAGAGTATCTCACTCTAGACATGCCGCGTGAGTCTTTCGTTTTGCATCATTTGTTTTTTACGGGCTTCAATAATAAACCAAATGCCCCGATCATAAGTCTTACAACACCGGCTCGAACGTTGCGTGCACCGTGCACTGTTTCGGTGTAGCGCGCCGTACTGCGGGAGTACCGCGGCGGAGATCCGCCCCGTAGCGAAAGGGTTAAAAATACTACTATCCCTCAAGCGGTTACTTATAAATTTTTATATTTGACCCAATGTGCTAATTACAATTATATATATATATATATATATATATATATATATATATATATATATATATAAATAAACAAATTTATATAAAGCCAATAGGTATTGATAAGGTGTGTACAGAAAATTATTATATTATATAATATTTATAATATAAATTATTAAAATATATTTTATAATTCATATATAAATACATTTTATTTTTATTAAAATATAATATATTACTTTATTATTAAAAAATTATTTCATAATACTTTTATTTAATTGTTTTGTTTGTCATTAAAGCTCACTAAAAATTTACAATTATTTCCATGGTAAAAAATATAATATTATATTAAAAGTCAATCGTTTGACCGGACACGGTATAAATAGATTTACATTTACTTTTTTTTTAATTTACATTTACTCGGTAAATTTATTATTAAAGAGCGACATATGTTCTTCAAGACTAAGAAACGAAAAATTCTTTTTATTTTTTCCTAAACAAAGATCTCCTGAAGACATCATCATTGTTGTCTGATGACGTTCGATGATGATGTCAGAGAAAATCGATAATGTTAAACAAGAGTTACCATCCTTTCTCTCTTTCCTTGTCTTTCTCTCCTTCTTTTTATGCATAGGGTGTCTCAAAACTCGTTTTATTAAATTTATAATTTTGTTAAATATATATTTAAAAAAGAAAAATGAAAAATCACCACTAATTTATTTATGGAATCACAACATATTTTGTCTTTCGTTTTAAGATATTAAGATTTTTATTGATAAGTATTGTTAAAATATGAGTCCAATAAAAAGACATTGCAATTATCGAATATTAATAACAAATTTTTAATTTGATGCAACAACTTTAGGGACTCCCTTTTTTCTAAAATTTTATTAATATATATAATGAAAACTTATATTTTTAATAAAAACATTTATAATTAATTTAAATTCTACCTCTATTATACAAAGGTTGGAACAAATATAGTTCCTTAAAGAAAAATTATAGAATAAAATTATTTTTACTTGGTAAAATTACTTTTAAAATAACCTGTAGATAATTTTGTATCTTTTTTACACCAAACCTTCTAACATTCTATATATATTTATACATATCGGAACCAGTCAAGTGATCATTATAACAATAATATTTCTTACAATAAAATACAAATTTTATTTTTGATTATGTTTTGTTTTATTCTTTTATTTATTTCTTTATTTAATAATAATTCATAAGATTGTATTATATTTTAGAAGAAATACGTATAACGTAATCACTCGTAAAAACATTTGTCAATATTCTCGATTTCTGTTTAATCAAGTGTTTTCGAACAGACAATCGATATCGTTTCTCAGAATATTTCAATGCCGAACAAATCGATCTCTTGGAGCGTTTCTTTCAATGTTACAAACCTAATCTCGACGTGATTATACTAATCCATAGAATAGTCTTCCAAGAAACTATTGTATAATATTTTATTCTTATTCGCATAATTTCTGAAAGTTCTATATGTTCGGTGGATGTTTGGAGACAAGCATCAATGTCTCCGATTCTTGAAAACGATTATATAAGAAAAAGACAGTTACTTTTGCAGTAGAATTATATTGTACGAGCATTCGAAGAATATTTAAAATATTTCACTCCTTAGAATATATTTAAAATTTACTTATGAATATTTATCGTCACTTTTAAAAAAAAATACCGTAAAATTTAATAAGAAACAATAAATAATGCAACCAAATTTTTATTGACATGTATTCTGATTAAATTAAAATAATCAATTTTTTACTGGTCTAGATGATTAAAAGAAAACTATTTTTAAACAATAATAAATAACTTATCTTTCGATAATAAATTATTTTTTAATTCAATTATTTCTATTAACATTTACATTTAGATAATAATAACTTAAATATTATATAGAATATTAAATTTATAATAATTGAATAGAATAATATTCCAAATTTGAATACAAAATTTCAATTCCAAATATAAATCTGATTATTCATAAAATTTTTGGACCCATATTTATTTAACAATAACACTTATTGAAAATACATGTTTTGAAATAAAAAACATAATATTGTAATTTTAAAAATAAAACGAATAATAATTGTTATTTAATTTCTTGCTCATATATTTTCAATATATTTTCTATAGAAAAGAAAACATCATAAATATATATACAAATATTGTAACATGATCGTTCAGGTAATATTGCTGTTATTGTTAAAACAATTTTATCTACGAATGGGAAATACTCGAGATGTAATTCAGTGGAACCACAATACTACTAATTAAGCGTGTATTCAGTAATGGTTAAAATCGATTTATGGGCGACATTTTTTCTTCAAAACATTGATTGTACGATGAACATCCGTTGACAGAACATCATTTTTAGGTTAGCAAGTTTTAACATGTATATCATTTCCTGCGTTACAACTTTATTTTCGAATATTCAAAATTCAAATTACAAAAAATTTAGAATTTCTTGTTTAAAATCAATATTACATTTGAACGATCGATTGAGAATTTATTCTTTAGAACATTATTTCAAGATTCTTTTTCTTTTATTTTTCTTCTTTTTTTATATTAGAGTATACTTAAACGATTGAACAGAATGGTAAATCGAATCGAAAGTCAAATGTTGCACAATGATCCACAGGTCGCAATATCGCAATGTCTTCGTCTTACATAGCACAGCAACAACTATGCATACCGTCTGGAAGTTGGTGCTCCAATTTCCTGGACCAGTTTCACACCAAACTTCTCGATAATCCGGTTACAAAGCTCGCTTGCTTTCTTACTACCGTATGTAGAGAAAAACTAATGTTGTAACGATTTCAAATGTTGCTCCATTAAAATGTACATTCTTATCAAACTATTTCAATGTTTATAGCATATGAGGTCATTTACCAAAATTGGAAATTTCATGTGTTGCTATTGCATCGTTTTTCAATCTATAAACAGTAATCCAAATATTTGATCATGAAATAATATTGTAATTGCTCTTTTATTACCAAAACAAGGAAAGTTTTAAATTTAATAATAGAAAAAAGTAATAGATATAAAGAAACTTTTCTCGAAGAACATTTTTACGAATATTTTCAATACTAATAAACAATAACTCTAGTATACCAGTTTCTAACAAATTGTATATTAAAAAACATTTAATGTACAATAACATTATAAAAGAAACAAATTACTTAAAACTGTTGTGTGCTCATTAATTTTACAAAACTAATCTGTACCCTGCATATATATAAATTCTACGATTCTTGTAATCTATTTTTTATTTAAATCGAACTTGATAAAAGTGTAAACTCAATGAGAGCGTTTATCATGAAGAAAAACTTATGATTCTTAATATTTTCTATTCTAACAATTGTTCAGAACAAATTTTAGACTTTGACCTGATTGCAAAATATAACTCAAACTTTGACAAGATAATTCAAAGAACGATGGATCGACGGACGGACGGACGGACAAATAAATAAAAGAGTTCCACTAATGTTTTCTCTACACTGACGGTGTCGACGTTTGTCGGAAACTAGCATTACATTTCTAGATCAAGGACTCCGATTGCTGTGCCTCGCCGATATGGAAGAATCGTGAAACTCTCGCAAAAAAATGAAAAAAAAAAGAAAAAAAAGACACTTCGATGTTAAGTAATTAGGCTTACCTAGGAACGTTCTATTTTATTTTTTTTTAAAGAAAAATATGATAAAGTAAACAAAGAAAGTAAAGGAAGAATTAAAGATTCTTCCAACTGTTACTAAGGCGCCGAACTTAACCGATTCTTTTTATATCACATAATTAACGAGCAGTGACACCGTGCACCGACGATGAAAGATTATAGAAAGCGGAAATAGGAAAAAAATGTTGAATTAAAAAAAAAATAGAGGAAAGTGACTTACTTGACCAGGATCCTCCAGAAGCAGCCAAAGCTGGAGCCGTTTGGCACTTCGCTAGCGTACGATATAGTCATTTCCTGCCTGACCGGTCGAACTCTTCTTTTCCTTCCTTCTTTTCTTTCTTTTCTCTTTCTTTTCTTCTTTTCTTTTCTTTGATATAAAACTTCTACTTTCTTTATTTATTTAATACTCTTATTTTTAAAACGCAACTTTCCTTCTTTCCTTCACTTCCTTCTTCTTCTCCTCCTCCTCCTCCTCCCGCCGCTTCCTTTCCTCTCCTACGTTTTCGTCTTCCTCGCGTAGACCGATCCCTCGCACCGTGTCGCTGATGTTTCCGGTGGAAAAACTGCACACTCGCGCACATGCGGCCCGCGCGGGCCCCGTTTATAACCTTTGCCCTTTATTTGGAATTATTTCTTTTTTTTTCTTTTTTTTTCCTATTATTATTTTTATCTATACCTAATAAAATAAATTCCTCGTTTATTAGAAACGAAATAAAGAAAACTATAAAGCAAATGTTTATCCAATTGTCTCTCTGCCGCGCTCGGATTTCCCATCCGGCAATTCAGTTGACGCGCGATTGGAAAAGACTAGCTGACAGGGCGGACCGACTGTCTACTGACTGAGCCCCACTGACGGACGACAGAAGTCATCCGGAGAACGGGGCCCGATTCTGCCACCTCTACCTGGCCCGAACAGTAACGGATATAGTTTACTTTGATACCCTGGTCTTTCATTTCCATTCGTATATAATCATAGTTTTTTGTTTCTCTCTTTTTTTCGTTTATTTTTTTTTCTTTTCAATCAACTTAATCAAATGATTATTTTCATTCCATCATTCAATTGTTTTAGCAATGTTTTCTTTGAAATTTTTTGTACGATTATCGTCTCTAAAAAAAGTACTTCTTACTTCTTGTTTATCGAATCATATGGAAACGAAAATAATTATTTATAAAATCTAGGGTAATTGTTTATTTGAAACGATGACGACGCGTTTTCCGATCGTCGAGAGAGAAAGCCCAGAAAGTCGTTGGCCCCAGAGAGAGATTCAATCGATTGAAAGATGTGAAGATGGAAAAGTATTTCTAGACTCGCGCTTGTCCTTTCGATAGAGTCTCTCGCAACAATAAATAAGTATTTTACGTTACGTCATGCTTATCATGCGTAAATGCATACTGCATATATGCTCGTTTACAAAAATGTTAACTTTCAAAGTGGAACATGGAATCGTTTCAAATTTTATTTACAATGAAAAATTCTTCCATTATTATATGATATTATTATTATAGTAGGCCCTCGACATTCGCACATAATTGGTTCTTAAAAGTGTGTGCGAATGTTAAATGTTCGAAAGAAGTGGAATGTAAAAATTGTGTTTTAAAGTATTTATCTAAATTAGCAAAACACACAACATGTTGACGCACGCCCTAATGCAAGATTGAATCTGTTTTGTTCTCTTTATCCGAACAATGTCATCTGATGGCTAGTCTGATGTTCCCTGAGAGGGGACATTCGAGCAGAGGATTAAATAGTTGAATCTTTAAAAATGTGCATAATAGCGAATTGTGCGAAAGTAGAAATCACGGAAGTCGAGGGCCGCTTGTATTATTATTATTATTATTATTATTATTATTATTATTATTATTATTATTATTATTATTATTATTATTATTATTGTTGTTGTTTTTATTATTATTATTATTATTATTATTATTGTTGTTTTTATTATTATTATTATTATTATTATTATTATTATTATTATTATTATTATTATTATTATTATTATTATTATAAATTAACAAAAACTCTAAATGATCTTAATCGAGAGTCGCAAAGATTTCTTAAATATTAACTGTCGAAAATAAAAATAAAAAATCTGGAATATTCGTATCGTTTGAATTATTTGTCGCCGTCGAATTGGCTTATCTTTCGTAAGAAAAATATTATTCAAGAGTATCTTGGTTTGCAAAAATACTGGCCTCATGCAAGTATAAGTATATATTTTTTCATGTTTATGCGTATGTATCTATATACATACATTTTATTTATATACATATGTAATATATAAGGGGTGTCCTAAAAGTCGCTTTACTGAGCTAAAAAGTAAAGTTTCCTTTTAATAATTCTGAAATTGGAAAATTTATATCTTGCAATAAAACAACAAAATATTGTAATTCTATGAGGTTAACCAACAAATCTTTGCGGTATAGCTGTTTATTTGCTTAGAAAGAAAACCGCATGAACTTATTACTTAACATAATATTAATAAAAGCCAATAATAATGTCTTCTTTTCTCGGGCAAAGCGACTTTTGCGATACCTAATATATATGATTAAATACTTATACAATAAAAATATATGACATGTTGGTAGATGAGGATTGATGTACTTTGACGAGAAAGTACTTTCCACATATGATTTACGAGCAATATTCTTTTTTGGATTACAAAGGCACGTCTGGTATTCCAAATGGATCTTTATTGAACAGAAGTAGAACACTTGAATTCGTATCATTCGCAGAGAGATACTTAAACGATTTTTCTATTATTGTTCTCTACACTCACTAGGGATTTTTAAACAAAATTTTAAAAATTGTTGACAAAAAAAACATATATGAAAATATAATTGAAGAAACTCAGAACTGTTATTAAATTATTTCGATGTATTTGAATTTATTTTAATCCATTGTAAGAGTAAATCATATAAAACTGATAGATGAATACGGCCCTGTTTTTCACCTTCTAGCCAGGTATACATGTATATACGGTGTTGGTGTCGGAGTGGTAATGTTTCCGAGCGACATCTGACGACTAATAAGAAAAGCTTCCTCTCACCTTGCAGTGGCCTAGCCTGCGGCATATGATCTTTAGTGTCGTGGTATGACCTTCCTATACCATCCAATGGTCACCTTTCACCTTCTTCTGCATTCTCTTTTTACTTGATAACTTCCATATAGAAGAAAGAACTTCCACGTGGTAATTCTTGGAAGTATTTAACATAGACGTTATTTTCTTTCTATAGAGAATTACAACCATCCATCTTTTATTTTCATATTGATAATAATTTTAAATATAACGATGCTTAATCCATTCGTATTATAAGAAAGAATGAAACATTAGGACTTTATGACCTTTACTTTGCTTCATATGTGTGATAGTGACATGAAAAATTTAGCTAATAATGCAAGTTGGTTAGAAAAAGATTTAAAATAAATATGGAAAATAGAAGATATTAATATACTATGTAATATCGCCGACATCAGAACTTTCGTTAATAATTTTTTAAAAATTTCGATTAAGATTAAAGTTTTTATTATACTTCTACGAATAATCATATCAAAATTTGAAAATTACGGTATATGTCATTTATTTCTAACATAAGTTCTTTTTGTGGAAAAAAAACTTCACTATCTTACTTTTACTGTGTTCCTTGAATTTAATCGAGATCATGCTGCGAGTTCCACAAATTACGGGATCAAGAAATAATTCATATATTTTTATTAAGATCATAAGTAATATTATTGTAAGTTACTTGAATAGGTAATTTTTAAATTACTCGTAGTTTATATTTAAATGAATAAAATTAATATTTTTTTTATTGTGAATATTACATATTTTTCGAAATAAATCATAAATACTATTGTACTTTGCACAAAAAAAGTGTTGGTATCTTATATCTGAATTGATGGACCACAAGCTAGGATAATGAACAGGAAATGTAAATTATAATATTTATTGTAACAATTTATTATAATATTTTATATATAAATAAATAGAAATCATAAAATATTTTGTCTATTTAAACACTTTTTGGTATTTTATATCTAAATAAATAAAAGCTAGTATTTTTTAATATAATCCATTCCAATATTACTTATCCATCAAGGTAATAATATTTAAAAAAAATATATATTAAAAGTGAATAATATGTGGAATAATGACCGAACGTTTCTCAGGAATCTGAAAGTATAAATACTTAAGAGTTTCGTATTATTATAGAGATAAGTCACGCGCGAAAAGGATCAGAAGACTACATGTGATTTATTAAAACCAACAATACTTTTTTCAAATGTCAAGTTAAACGTAGTACGAAATTGAATGACGTTCTCGTTCGACTAATTCGGAGTCGACTATAACTTGATATCCTTTTGAACGTTATACACGATATTTGCAGAGTTTTGAAATAACTTCTTCTCGAATTCAGTCATGCGTTGTCTCACTATCTTTGTGACGCCATGTTCTCCAATTACGCAGGGTAGTGACAAATACATTTCGTGACATATATCGAAATGTCCCTAAGAAAACAAAACGAAAGCTAAAATATATATATATACACTTCAAATTCACTCCTTTTCAAGTCAAATTCATCTTTAAAATATCACTTGAAAAAAAACTTATTTTATAAATAACTCACCTCAGTAATTATTCACTTTAAGTCTCATTTTGTATAATAATTTTTATAAAATAAAATTAAAAAAGATTTTATCTTTCATATAATACTTATTAAATAAAAGTAAAAGAAAAATTTGTTAAATGACGGAATACATTGAAATAATAATACTAGTATTTGTATGATAGTACTTGAATCATAGTCGACACAGTTATAACGCGTTGTGCATTCCCCAATATTGCATTTACAATATCAGCTACACAAAGTCCTATACCAATATTCGAATATCCTTTTAAACATCTAATCGTCGCACCTCTAAAATACAAGAAAATCAATTATTACGTATAAATTATTCTTTTTTTTTGCGTACGAATTTTACGAATTTTTAATAATGTAATTTTGGTTTTTAGGAAGTTTAACTTACAAACCCATTACTTCTTTGGAAATTTCGTGCCATTTCTCTTCGTCAGTTTCCAAACCAATATTCGGAATAATATCACGAAATTGCACACCTGCGACATTTACTCCCGACCAAAGTGGAACTATAAGAAATAGTATAGTTGTTAGTACTGAATATATGAGAAACTATTAGTTATTATTGAAAATTGTTAAGAGAAATGTATATAAGGTTAAAAACTTTAATTATCATTATTTCAAGTAAACAATCTGTTTATGTTTGCAGTATTATATTTATTGTAAATTTGTTGAAAGAAAATGTGTAATTTACGATATTGCACGTGTACCACCAGTTACATGACGCCTTGTCAATATGTATGGATCAATAATTTTGACAAAGAACTGATGTAAGTAAAAAAAAAAATTAACAAAATTATTCATCATAATTTATGTTATAATATAAACAATTGTAACATAAGAGTAAATTGTAAAATCAATTTTTGTACTTATTGTTTGTTCACTATTATAATTACCTACATATACATATTCGTATAATATAACCATTTATTTTTTTCTTTTTAGAAATGTAAGAGAAAATTAATGAAAACTGAGAAAACAATTCATAAATATATATACAAGGAATGCAACTGACCTTGAGAATCTCCATGCTCGCCTATAATATAAGCATTAACAGAACTTGGAGCGATACCTAAGCGATCGGAAATTAAGTATCGAAATCTGCAAGTATCTACGTAAGTTCCGCTACCGATAATACGATGAAATGGCAAACCGCTCACTTTCCATGTTACCCATGAAAGAATATCGACTGCAATATAAGAAGCAAATATATTTGTTCTGATCACAATGAAATTTATTTAAATTGGAATTTACAATCAATCAAATTCGTATTAACCTGGATTACTGGCAACAACGAAAACTGCGTTGGGACTAAAACTTAATAAAGGAGGTATTATTGTCTTGATTATATCAGTGTTTCGCTTCGTTAAATCTAAACGACTTTCACCCTTTTCTTGTCTCACCCCAGCACAAACTATCACCACCCTAGAATTGCTCGTGACACAAAAATCTACGAAAAAGTATTCACAAATTAATAAGTATACAAAGGATGGTAAAAAAAGGGTTCGATATTTTAAAAGCTTATAGTACTCACCCAGACGAATGAAAAATGTTTAATTAATATGAGTCCTAAAATCAATCCTTTTGTTATAAGTTAACTTTTATTATTTATGTGCGTTCAACATTGTAAACGAGTCTTTTGGTAAGATTTTAAATTTATGTAAAAATATATATTTAGAAATACATTACGCTCATGAATAATAACAATTTATTTATATCAAAAGGATATAAATTGTTGATTTTAGGACCTATGTTAATTATAAATTGTTTATTCCTCTTAATAAGTACTATAAATCCTTAAAATCTTGGACCCTTTTTCTACTACCCTGTATACTTTGATATATAGAGCGTTCTGTTTACAAAAATGAATGAAAATATTGTATTACCTGTATCAAAATCGATTCGTGGATCTCCTATAAGAACCGAACCATGAGAAAAGTCCATGCCTTCTCCTTCCAGTTTTTTCGGAAATGCATCCACAATAGCAATATGAGATGTAATTTTCTAATATTAAAAATTCGCGTTCAACGATTATTAAATAATTATTATGATATAATGAATTTCTTGTACACTCCGAGATTACTGTTTATACAAGGTGAGTTTGCTAACATTAAAATTTTAAATAACTTGTAAGTTATTCGTTCTATGAAAAAATGTTTCAAACAAAAGTTTAATGGTGTCTAAGAGGATACACAGTATTCTAATCTGTTTTATATTATCTTACTTTTTTATCGAGATATTAAGATTACTTTCAGTTTTTTACATGAAATGGCTAATATTTTTTTCGAATCCGAATAAATAAGAAGCCCTTAATATCTCAATAAAAAACTAAGATAATAAAAAACAAATTAATGCATATTATCGTATATTCCCTTAGACAACATTAAACTTTTTTCGAAACCTATTTTCATAAAACTAATAACTTACGAATTATTCACCCTTATATGGAAGATTTCGTATGCAGTAATACGATTTCCTCGTATGACATACGAACTTTCACTTTGCTACGGTGTAGATTGTGAATAGAGAGGAAAAGAAGAAAGTCAAAATAAAGAAAAAGAGGGAAAGGAACTTATACCTGAAATAGAAGTGCGCTGGCAACACCAATACCGACCATACCAGCCCCAACGATAGATACTTTATGACAACAATCTCTTACAGGCTCGGACACCTTGCACAAAAGTTCTTCACGTAGACACATCGGTCTAAATGATAAGAACAAATATCATCAAACAGGATAATGTTGAATAAACAATTACATTAGAGGGAAAAAAAGAAAAAAAAAGAAAAAAAGAAAAAAATTTCTCAACGCAAACGGTGCTCCACAACTCTTACTGCAAATCTGTTCGTTGTTTATCAGAACCACAAGAAGCATCCTCCGTGAATGATGCCAATTTGATTCTCTTCTCATTATTTTTACCGTTTAAGATATCCTTGAATATTGTCGGTGGTAAATCTCGGAAACCTCGATTTATACCAAGATTTCTTTTTGACATTACATATTCCCAATTTTTCCAACAGACACGTAAAAACGAAGAGGAGAATTGTAGGGTTAGTACCATTGCTCTAATCACGCGATTCCCCTTGATTTTTCACGTGTTTTTCGACAGTCCTTTACCCTCGCTCGTGTCGTATCGGGCCAGACATTTTCGAGCGACATTCGCAGAAACTTAGATATACTGCCATTACCGCAGTTTGTCAATTATTATACGAATCCATGGTTACTGCACTTGTAACTAATTTAACAGTGACGAATATACATTGGGGTTGAATTAATTAATACTGAACCTATATATATATTGACACTTTGTGTATGCATATTCCTACCTTGAAGAGTAAAAAGTTTATAGGTTTTTAAAAAATATATATATATCTTAATATACAATGAGATTTTAACCAACTTCATTGTAAAGAAAATATTTTATTTTATTTTATTTAGTAATGCATAATGTACATTTTATGCATTTATACGCGTCACAAAATTTAAAACCATTATTCATTGTTTTCGTTGAAAAAATAGTTCATAACAATTATATTATTGATGACCAACCAGATGACCCTTAAGTATGAGCCTACAATCCTAAACTGACTTTTGTAACTGACCCTTTTACTACTATATCATTATTAGAGAAATTTAAATAACTCAAGTTTGAATTCAGATTTTAATATAATTGTTATAAAAAAATAGACACGTTATGGAAGTATTTTTCCACTTATTAATTACGAATCTTTAACAGACGAGATAATAAGACATGTAATAAGAATACATAAACAACTAGGGGGAAAAAAACATGCGATAAAACGTCTCTTTTTCTCGCATTTTAACTTATTATTTCCATAAGATTAGAAAAATCTTCTATTTTCTTTCAAATTAATAAAATTGATTTTTCCAATTAGACAAGTATGCAAAATGAAGTTATACATATAATTCTAAACCTTTTATTAACACTTAAAGACCGCTCACGAGATTACTCGTTTTTATTTCTTTTCTCCGTAACTTTTGTGTTACATTTTTGCATAAAAAAAATTGCCTTTGAAAATATCATAACCTACGGGATTATTTTAAAAACTACTTTTATAATATATTAGTTATAAGGTTGAGAAATATGTGGATTTTTAATTTTCTATATGCATTTTTTTTTCATTTCTAAACGAGAAAATCGCCAAGCTTACAAGACCATCTTCATCATTTGTAACTTCAAAATTTTTTCAAACTTTGCACACTTGTAACGATTCATGAGGACTATATGTTGCACCCGTAAAAATTTGCTAATGCAATACGGTTTTATGTCCCTAGTGTCACTAAATCGAATACTCGACGGGAAAAAGTTTTATCCTTGATTTTCTTTCATTATTTCTAATTTTTGTTAATGTAAAGCATGTTTAATTCGCTTTATCTTTTTGTTTGTATTTTTCTAGGGTATGTTATATTAATATAAAGAAATTGTACTTATTTATGGTTATATTTGACGAGTTTTGTACATCATTATATGATTGACAACACCGTATCCGTTGATCAATTGTTATGATAAGATTTCAATGAGGATTGAATAAAAAGAAAGGGATGAGTAACAAAGGTATAAGGAGGTAAACAATAGGAATAACAGTTATTATATATTCAGTGTGTGAATAAGTTTATAATTTAGAAATAGGATAAGATTAACATAAAATAATAAACTTTAAATATCATTTTTTTTATTACAAGTGAGGGTAAATGTTCGCAATGTTACATCATTTTAGTTCAATAAGTTAAAACTAATAAATAAAAAATAAACTTTGATTAGAGAGCAACAAAACAAGAGTTTATTTTAAATTGTCAATCAAAATAATTAAGAAGTTCATAAATATCGTTATATTAATTTTATAGGGAACATAGTCAAAAAAATAGGTAAATTTATATTTTAATGCGTTTTAAGTTTCTTTTATTTGTAAGTGTTATTTTATTAAAAAATTAACATTATAACAACATAATAAAATTAAGAATTTTTTTGAAATTTCTACCTCACTTTTTTGCACAAATTTCTGGCCATTAGTAAATTTTCACGAGTACAATATATAATCCTCAACTGGATCACTAAAAGTGTGCAAAAGTTTGTTTGAACAAAATCTAAAGTTGCAAATGATGAAGGTATCCTTATTGGAGTAAGCCTTTTTTTGTTACGACAGGAGGAAAAACCATTCAAAAGCATTTCGGGTCCGTTACCTGAAATAGTGTCGGATTTAATCCGTCCGGAATTCCGTCCTAGTCAGGAGAAGCCTGACTATACCAGTCCCAATACGGACCGCCTGCCCATTACTAAAAAACCTCCCATTACTAATCATATACAGGTGGCCCTCCTACAACACGGCATCTTATAACACGGTTCGCTATAACACGACTCATAAATTGCGGGAACCCTCCTACAACACTGCATACTACAACACGGTTTCCTTTCAAAAAACCTTTGTACAATACTGTACTTCTACAGCCGCGGCGAGGCTTACCGTCTTAAAGATATAATATTACTAAAAGTATTTCTTTTCATCTCCATGGCCTGAAAACAAAAGTGTCTCACGCTGTTGTGAACTGAAAACATCAACGTTAAATGTGTGTTGGAAGAAGATATGGCTCTCTTCAGTTAAAATAGGAAACTTGCATGAATCGTCACAAAATAGAATTGGTGGCATATTAGAACTTGCTAAATCATTCGGAGGGGAAGGTTTTGTGGATATGGCTATTGTGGACGTTCAAGGTTTATTAGTGGAAGAACAAGTTAACGAAGCGAACTTGATAGAAATGGTATCTGAAACTGTAAATCAAATTGATCCTGAGGACACTAGCACTGATGAAGATTGTGCAGTTAATAAGTTAACATTAACAAAGTTACAAGAAGCCCTAAGCTTAGCTGAAAATCTCGAGTCATTTTTCTTAAATGCAGACCCTTCCGCAGAAAGAAGCCGAAAATTCAAAAGGAAGCATCAAAACTGTCTAGCTCCATACCGAGAAATTTACAATGACCTGGTAAGAAAAAACAAGCAAAGTAAAATTACAGATTTTTTAAAGAGGGAAGAAGATACAAGAACTTTAAATGAAGAAAAACGTTCTGAAAGTGAAGGCGATATCATTCCACCGAAAAAACGTTCTCCGTGATTAAGCTGAGCAGTGACGATGAAGATATTTATTAAATTAAAGTTGCGTTATATATATATAAATTAAAATAATATTTTTTGTTTTATATTATTCATACATTCTGTGTTAGCATAACAGCTGCTAGTCTCGGTAAAGGAAAACTAGTTTATAGTGGTCCCCGGGGTGGGTGGGTGCCAGTCACCACGACACAGAGCGTCCTCGGGTTGCGGATAGAGGAAGGGCCCCTTAGTTCTGCATAGGGATGGAGGTTAGCTGCGAATAAATTGAATAAGCAGTTGCGGACAGCCGACTTGGAATTGGCTCTCCTGTTCGGGAGTTGGGCGTAGGTCTGATTACCCCACACCGTAAAACGACTTTATCGAGCATCAATAAATACTGCCATGGATTCTACTAGGGTAAAATTTTCCGGAGGTAAACTAGTCCCCCGTTCGGATCTCCAGGTGGGGACTACCTTGGGGAATTCGTGTCGGATAAAGTCAAAAAACGGAAAGAACTTAAAAGTGGGCACCTGGAACGTACGAAGCCTGTTCAGACCCGGGACGCTCCAGGTGATGGTCGGGGAGGTAGAGAAGTACTGGGTAGAAATCGTCGCACTACAAGAAACTAGATGGGCCGGGGAAGGTTCGGTTAACGCGGGGTTATACTCGGTATACGCTTTACTATGGAGGGTCGGAGATCCATAGTTTCGGCGTCGAGTTCATAATTAGGAAAAGAATACTATCCGCGGTAAAAGACATTAGGTTTATAAATAAAAGGTTAGGACTGATCGTATTGCAGAGGCGATGGTACAAGATCGCGATTATTAATGTGCACGCGCCGACGGAAGATAAAGAGGACGAAGTTAAAAACGGGTTCTACGAGGAACTTGAGCGCGTCGTGGATTAATTGCCGAAAGATTACATGAAGATAGTCGTGGGAGATTTTAACGCGAAAATCGGTAAAGAAGAGTTCCTTAGACCAATGATCGGGCCCAAGAGTCTCCCTGAGAAAAATAAGGAGTAAGGGTAATTAACTTTGCGACCGGGAAAAATCTCATCATTAAAACCACATTTTTTAAACACAAAGACATCCATAAACAAACTTGGATTTCCCCGGACGGAAATACGCGTAACCAAATAGATCACGTTCTGGCAGATAAACGGTGACACACGAGCTTATTAAATGTTAGGTCGTACAGGGGGGCGGATTGTGATTCGGATCCTTTTTTGGTTAATGCTAGAATGAGGGAACGGCTTTCCGTAAATAAGAACAATGGACAGCGGATAGGAAATAAACGGATAAACGTGAAAAGCTTATCAAGGGAAAAAACGGAATAAAGTACGCGGCCGAAGTAACGAAAAGACTCGCGTCGGCAAAGAAAGTTGACGAAGCAGATGAGAGTACGGATAAAAAATGGGAAAACATACGCGACGCGATGGTCTAATCGGCGGAGGTTATCGTTGGTTTTTGCAAAAGGCACAAAAATAAACCATGGTTCGACGAAGAATGCGAGTTAGCCGTCAAAGTCCGAAACGAAGCGCGTATCTCGTGGCTGACCCAAAACACGGATCTAACCCGGGACCAATTTTACAATATTAGGCAAGCGACGCACAATTTAATTAAGAACAAGAAGCGAAAATTTTTAAAACAAAAAGTATAGGAAATTGATGAAAATTGTCAAAGCAGTAACGTCCTTGGTATGTACGCGGGGATAAATAGGCTCAAAAAGGGATTCCAAGCTAGGACGGATCTAGTGAAAGAACAACAGTTTAGTTTCGGATACAACGGGGATATTGAACACGTATTATTTTGATCGGTTATTAAATGTAGAATCTGAGAACGACCGGGAAACTGAGAATTTCGATTTTCAACAGCGAAACCTATGGTTAGTGAACCAACTATGTTAAAGGTAAAAAGCGCTATTAAAAAACTAAAAAATCATAAGTCACCGGGCAATGACTCGATTCTTGCGGAGCTAATAAAATGGGGGAGAAATAGATTGATCGAAGAAATTTTTGAGCTAATCAAATTAATATGGAGCAAGGAAACATTACCGGAACAATGGAAAGAGTCGATTACAATCCCAATTTTTAAAAAGGGAGACAAAATGGATTGTAATAATTACCGGGGTATTTCACTTTTACCGACGTGTTACAAAATACTATCAAACATCTTACTAGCTAGGATAGTACAGTATGCGGACGAGATAATAGAAGATCACCAGTGTGGTTTTAGGAGAAATAGATCGACTACAGACCAAATTTTTGCCATTCGGCAAATCTTAGAGAAAAAATGGGAATTTAATCAGCCGGTACATAAACTTTATATAGATTTTCAAAAAGCGTACGACTCGGTAAAACAAGAAAGAATGTTCAAAATCCTAATACGACAGGGGATACCAAGAAAATTGGTCAACCTTGTTCAACTTTGCCTAAAGGAAACTAGGGGTAAAGTGAAGATAGTTAACCAAATGTCGGAAGATTTTAGTATCCATAGCGGGTTAACAGGAGGACGCATTGTCACCTCTTTTGTTCAATTTAGTACTGGAGTTCGCTGTCAAAGAACTGCAGTAAAGTAAAAATGGTCTACAGTTGAACGGGACATCACAATTGTTGACATACGCGGACGATATTGCTTTGTTAGGGGACAATGAAGAGTCATTAATTAATAACGCGAAAATATTAATAGATATTACTAAAGATCTGGGACTGAAAATAAGCGCGGAAAAACCAAATATATGATAACTGATAGAGTTCAGAATATGCCTAGTATTGGAACTTTGGTCGTCCGAGATAAAATTTTCGAACGGGTCAGCAATTTTTGGTATTTAGGATTGATCATAAACCAGACAAACGAAATTAACGAAGAACTTAAGAAAATAATTAATTTAGACAATTCATGTTTTTATTCGGTTAACAAATTACTCAGCTCGCGGTTGCTGTCTAGGCGATTAAAAATCAGGGTATACAGAACAATCATCCTGCCGATAGTCCTTTATGGTAGCGAAACGTGGTCGCTTACGTTACAGGACGAAAAGAAATTTAGGATTTTCGAAAACAAAGTTCTTCGTAAAATCTTCGGTGCAAAACGCGATGAGGAAACGGGCGAATGGAGAAAACTCTATAAAGTAGAAGTGCATCGATTGTACAACAAACCGGACATTATTAACGTCATAAAATCACGCCGATTAAGATGGGCTGGTCACGTGGCGCGCATGGGGGAGGATCGAAGAGCGCACAAAATATTGGTCGATATACCAAACGGGAAAAGACCACTAGGTAGACCGAGACGTAAATGGGAGGATAATATTAGAAGGGACCTGAAAAAAATAGGATACGAAGACCGCGAATGGAAGTATCGCGCTCAGGGACGGGAACAATGGCGGGATTTGGTATTTGCGGCAATAAACTTTCGAGTTCCTAATGCCAGTTAATAATAATAATAATTGTTCATACATTTATATTTTTAATAAAAATTAAGTTGTTTATTTTAAAAAATAGAATACTTGTTTTTTATATTGTTCCTATATTTATATTTTTAATAAAAATTAAGTTGGTCATTTAAAAAAAAAAATATTTGTTTTTAAAAAGTTTTCGGAACACAATTCCCCTTTTTGCATTGACTCTGAGTCTGAAACAACACGGTTTCAAATAACAGGGCATTTTCTAGGAACCTATCTACCGTGTTGTTGGAGGGAGATCTGTATTGGTATTTTGTTACGTTTTTAGGGGACACAATTTATGACAAATTGCCTATAACAATCGTTCTCTTTATTCTCTATCTCCGTGGACAAGTTATACACTCTGCCCCCCTCCCTTCAGTGAGCCAATAGGAATTTCCCTTTACTCTCATACTCATACCATGTCACACAAAACGCAGACGCACACACTCAGCTTATTGGGCACACTTACAGTGGTAATCACTCAACAAAGGCTCATGCATATACTATATTGCATTGACCCAGTCATTCGTTTTTTAGCGTGCTGAGCGGGTTCATTCCTCCCTATACGCTAATACTGCACGTCCCTACTCGCTCGCGACATCTTTTTCATAACTAGTCCCTTCAAATAGATGAAAAGCTGAAGACATTGACCTAAAATTCAGCATAACCTTAAAATCAGTGAAATAAATATTTTTAAGATTTAATAAAAGATAATATTTATCATTATTGTCAATTTTTTGAAGACATTGACCTAAAATTCAGCATAACCTTAAAATCAGTGAAATAAATATTTTTAAGATTTAATAAAAGATAATATTTATCATTATTGTCAATCTTTTGTTCGATAAAACATATTATTGTTTATAATTTGTTTAGAAATACGAATATTTGAAAAATTTCAATCTTTTTCCAGGGAGTACTTTTTTATAAGGAGTATCATTAATTGTATTTTTAACTATGAGAAATGCAATATCATCGATAGGTTAAAAAAAAGATATATAAGTGATATCCACACGCAATTGAAGTGAAACTAAATTATTCTATGTTATTAACTTTATTAAATAATTAAAGTATTAATTATTAACACAATAAATTTATTTTGTATATAAAAAGCTTAGAAAATCGATCCTGTGTTCTGTCACTAAAATTTAAAATTAAAACAAAATGAAATTATTTACTTTGGCTTAATCGACAGATTATTATTGATTGTTAAATAAGCTAAATACTTGAAGTAAAAGAATTTGTATTTTTCTTTTTCAAGTAATTATAAAACTTATTATGTTATAATTATAAACTTGTGGTATGATAGTTTATAGTGTTTTTTTTTGTAAAATATATAATTGTATCATGATTGTAATAATAAATTTAGATCTACGATATTTTATAAAGGCATCAACTACTATAATGATATCACAACATCAACGACAAGTAAATTACAATGTTAATACTGAAATTTATACTTTTTTAGCTGCTTCCAAAACATAATTGCCACATTTGCATGAAATTGTCATGAAATAAAAAAAAGTAAAAATGAATCCAATTTATATATCATAAAATAAATAATATCGTCTTAAATCCTTTAGTATTCGTCAAAAACAATCAACAAATTATAATAACTAAAATTTTTGTAGAAATTTATAAATAATAGTTGAAATAAATGCAACGACACGATATAAGTGAAAATATCGAAAGTAATCGGTACTTGCGCTTAAAAGTAGTTAAAGCCTAATGAAAATAAATATACATTGAACACGCACGACACGTAAAAGACAAAAAGAACGTTAGTCTAAGTATATGCACGCAATACTGTCGTTTCAAAGTTCCAAATTTTTCTGGACCTCGTGTATTGTCTGGGCTGATTTTTGAAGTAATTTCCGTTCTTCATCCGTCAATATTTGATTAACAATAGATGTGACACCGTTTTCACCCAACATTGATGGTAAAGATAAGAAAACTTCCTCAGTAATACCATGATGACCCTAAAATATCATAAATTCGAATATTTATATATAAATAATATTTAATGTTTAAACGTCAATTTTTAATATGAGTGTAGATATCGTGAAAATGTATACGAATGAAAAATACATTTTATATATATATATTGAAAGATGATATTATAGAAATTATCTTATAATGTATACAAAATGGTCTACTTTATCGACTCACAGTAACTTTGACAGTAACAGCGTGGACTTGGTGAGTGTTTCGCAATATCGTTGCTGCAAGACTTGATACGTTAAGCCCAATTGCCCAGGAAGTATAACCTTTGAGTTTTATAACTTCATATGCACTTTGGACGACTTGTTTATGCACATCATCCCAATGTTCTTCGTCTTTGCTAGTTCCAATGTTAGGTTTAAGCTCACGGAAACGTACACCAGCGACATTCACACTGGACCAGAGTGGTACTAAAAAAATCAAAACTATGATAATTTGAGGGAATTTATTTGAAAATAAAGAAATATTGACAATATAGTCCAAGAAATATTTTTTTTCTTGTAATTTGATTATATTTATTTATATCCTTTTCTGAATACTGAAAAGAAATAAAATTGTAAATAACATCAACACAAATGTTTCACGATACAAGACTCAAACGATCTTCATTTCCACAATTATAAATATTTTTTAATAAAAATTAATATTTAAATGCTCTAAAAGTCAATAAATATTATACTCAAATGTAAATTTTATATTTCTCTATTTTCTAAAAAAAATTTCTTCAAATAATTGTAACTTTTAGACCAAATCAATGAAAATCTTTTCTTAAAAAAACAAATTTTGATAATCAACTTACCGCTACTATCACCATGTTCTCCTATTACCCAAGCATGACAAGAGGTTGGTGCTACGTTGAGTTTCTGAGAAAGCAAGAAACGGAAACGCGTAGAATCTAAATTTGTTCCGCTACCGATAACGCGGTTCTGCGGTAAACCGGATAGTTTCCATGCGACGTAAGTTAAAATGTCAACAGGATTAGATACAATCAATAAGATCGTATTAGGGCTATATTTTACAAGCTGAGGAATGATTCCTTTGAAGATCTCAATGTTTCTCTGAACGAGATCAAGTCTGGTTTCACCTTCTCGTTGACGAGCCCCAGCAGTCACAATGCATAAAGTCGAATTTGCTGTGGCTTCATAATCAGTACTGGCATTTATCCTTGCGTTCTTTAAAAACGCACTACCATGTTGGAGATCCATCATTTCTCCTTTCAATTTGTCTGCCATCACATCGACGAGTACGAGATCATTCGACACATTCTATATATGAAAATAAGTAAGTAAATAAAGTAGTTTAGACTAATTAAATATACATGTTATTTTTTTTATTTATAGAAATAATACATTAACTTAAAAATTAGACTATTATAATGGTTTTACTTTACGTTCTCAATTTGTTATTAATTTTTGTTTCTATATTAAAAAAATAAATAATTCGCTTACGTTCGTCAAAATACTGAAGGCACATGCCATTCCAACCTGACCAACGCCAACAACAGTAACTTTATTTTTTCCATTGGAGGTAGGCTCTACGACATTGGTCAACAATTTTTCTTTCAACGACGACATTTTTCTGAAAAAGATAAATAAAACGTCAGTAAGGATATACTTTAGTATATATCCTATTATATTATTTATTTACTCACTATTATTTTAATATTTCATTTTTTTACCGAGTTTCCAATATTTTTTAATAATCAAAATGTATTATTTATCTACATTATGATTTTGGGATATTCCCAAAAACAAATTATTAATAATTTCATTAACAATCGCACTACCATTATCAAAACAGATATTTGGATTTAAATACAGTTAATTAAATTTTTAAATTATTTCTATGCACGCCATCTCGATGTATGTAACAAAGGAAAGTATGTAAATATGTTGTTATCAAAAAGTTCAAATGTTTTTACGACGCATAAAAGTACGAGCAAACATTTTGGAAGTATAAAAGTTTCCTCAAGGTCATCGAACTCGGAAAGTCAAAGAGGTCAAATATCTTCACGTTTACACGTTTATGTTTCCTGTCTACTCGAGATGATACCAATGGTCGAAGCGAATGGCTATTTTTAACAAATTTTATTTTGCTTCCGTATTTTAGAAACGAAGAAGATGAAAGTGATTGGTTGAAAAATTAGCAAATATTCGAGGAAACTTTTTTAAAAATAAAAATTAATATTTTGTAAGTGTCAATCAAATGTGAAGTGAAAAATGTTTTTTAAAATATCTCGCATTGCCTAAACCATATATGTAGGATCGAATAAAAAAAGTATTGGCACTAGCTAAATTTTGTTATTAAATATTCTATATATTTACAAAAAAATGCGATTTTTTGTTTAATATTTTTCTATGTAAAATATATTTTTAAAATATAAAGTTAAATTGATGTATAAATAAAAACTAAATAATGAGGAATGCTTAGAAATCAATTTTTAAATACGATACTATTTTCAAGAATTAAAAGCAAAGTTTTTTTTAAACCCATTTAATCTATGTCACCCATCAAATCTATGAAGTAGAAAACAAATCTAATCACATAAATCTGAAAAAAGTATGATTCTTTGTTATCTTTATATTTTTCTTTTTTTAATTTAATATTGCTATCAAAAAATATGAATGTGTGAATACATATATTTTTGGTATGTAAATACGAACAATTTATATAGAATATTTTATTTGACTAACAATAAAGAAATAATTTCTGTCTCAAAAATTGTAGAAAAATATTTCATTACGACATGTACAAAAATTTTAATAATATCTCAACTAATGTCAATAGTCATTTTCAGTAATATAATTCAATATAAGAATCACAGCTGGAGAGAGCGTGGCGTATCTTATTTTGGATCGAATTGTCCAAAAGGGAAGGAACTAAAACTAACACAATTATATTTACCCACCTACACAAGACACATTTTTGTAGAAGGAAAACTGACATTGTGATAAAACGAAGGCGTAAAGTGGCATCACGATAATCGTTAGAAATGCAATAGAGACAACGAACTTAATCAGTATAGTAAAGCTGATATTTAATATATACGGTGTTGTTTTAAAAGTATTTTACAAAAAGAAAATTTCTGACGTAACCCTGACGTGATCCTGCAAGACATCATGCGCACAAAAACTTTAATAGGTAATAAATTTCTAATTTTTGGATTTAGGAACACATTTAAATGCAATTATAAATAAATATATTTATAATAAGAAATTTATTATTTATTAATAAAAACTCTAATCAAAAATTCATTTTACGAACATTGGTAATATAATATTAAGAATAGTTAAGATGAAAAAGAAATCAACTAAATATCCATATTTTTAAATCTATGACATTTCATTGTGTTATAAACAAAAAAAGTAAAAGTAAAAGTAACGTAAATTCAAGAACGATAATTCAATTCAGCATTTATTCCTCGAGAGACTCAACTCTTTTTTTACAAAAAGAAATCAATAAAATTATAGAAGAAATAAAAAATACAAATTTCACTGTTACATCAAGCATTGTTTACTTACTTATTTGTCAATCTTATTACTATTTTCGATTGTTTATATTCTTTAATTGTTAAAAATGAAAATAATATTATTTTGTAAATTCAATATATAGTTAAAAGAGAAAAAATACTTTCACTGACCTTTCCAATATATATTTCGCTGGTAGTCTCACTAAAGATAAATTAATTAAAAAATTGTAGACACGAATAGGTAGGTAAGAAAAGTGAACACTGAAAATGATACTGGCAGCCGGCACACCGGTTTACTACTGACTAAACTGACAGAACTCTCATCAGTTGTGTTTCTTAAGGTGACCTTGTCTCCCACTTTTTATACCTCTACCAGCCAGGGTATAATAGTGTGCGTAAGATTAATGCCATAGCAATATCGATCTTAGAAAATCGAATACATTTATTATCYAATTTTAATCGTAATAGCAATTTTTTAATAATTTTTTTACAAATTCATCATCTCTTTTTTTATATTTTTTAAATAATTTATTTTAAAATATTTTTTGACTTTCGTAGTATGGCGAGTGGCGCGTATGCTTAAAGGCACGTAACAGCAAGAATTTCTCAGAAGCGTAGACCGTTAATAATGGACACACTTACGCAGGTATAAAACTGATGCAACTTTCTGTTCTTTCAGAAACTCCAACATCACATAGTCCCTAATTTATTTTCACATTCTTTCGCTCTTTTTGATTTATTCTTACAGTAATTATATATAAAGTAATAGTTTAAATGAGACAATGATTGTGTTAAATACCATTGCCATTTTTGTTTGCTATTAAATTTTTTTTATATACCATTCATTTAAAATACTAAAACAAAATTTTAAATATTACTAATTCAATAAAAACCAGCCTATAATTATTTCAATTACTTTGATCTATAAAGGAAAAATTTGTAAACAAGTTTTATTTAATCTAAAGATAAAATAATAGTACATACTTCTGATAAATTATCTAATATTTTGTTTAAATAAAAAAGAACGTTAATTTATTAGCGAAAAATGATATTATATAAATAAATTAGAAAGGGACTGTAAATGATAAGTATGATAACGATAGAAATCATAGAATTTTACATTTTTATTTGATATAATCAAATAATTTGTGATATTGAAGTTGTTGAGATTGCTGTATACATTTTTCTAATATTTTTCTGATATCAACAAAATTCTCGGAGATTATGTCTATAGACAATGTCTCGTGGTGCTCAACCAAACGATGATTCATAGTAGCCAACCATCTGTTCTTTAACTGAAATGATGCAACAAATAAGAACTAATAGTGTAAGTCCGCTAATCGTAACTACAGACAAAAAATTTCAGAATACGTGAAACAAATTGTAAATAGTTTTCATTTTAATTCAAAACTGAGTTATATTTTTTGCGTATTACTAATATTTTTCTATGAACAAACGGTTGAGAAAAACTACTTTAATGTACCTAAAAAAAAATGAAATTCATTCAATTTTTAGAATTTGCACATAACTGCTAATATAAAAATATTCAAAAAGAATGCACAATATATTTATTATCTTGCACATATTTTACATACGAGTATATGCACATATTAAAATACATTTAATGTAATTATAAGAAACGAAGATTAGATTTATAAATATATATAGAATATATATATAGATATACGTGACATCGATCATTGATCAATTTTTTGCAATGCACAACATTTCCACTTTTCTTAGATTCCCTCCCACTTATTTAAAGTTTTATACAAATACCCATCTCTACGAGTGATACGTGAACGTAAGCACGTGTACATCGTTTAGAGAAGGGGTTATGTTCGTTCATGGACATTGTGCATCCATATTTAAAATATTGCTGCAAGTAGATAAATTCAACACAATCTAAATTTATTCGTCATATTTTTTCTTTCAGAATATATAAGATGTTTCAAGATAACTATTTCTAATTCACGTATCCATAATTAAATTAATTCTGTAAGTAATAGTTAATTTTAAGAAGAAAGAAAAACACCTTTTCAAATTACAATTTCGGTAGAAAAACAACAATAAAGGATAAATACGCCAAATAATTAATCAACATTTTAAAAGTAAATAGTGCATATTATTGCATTTTTATTCTACATTGTAGCTGTAGCAGAATGTTTAGTTATTTTTTTTATATCTGTTGCTCTAGGAACATAATGTCGCACACCCCATTTAATATTTGCTTCCTTGTCAGTTTTGACAAATGTATATACAGGTTTTCGCAATTTGTTCATCTGTTCTAATTTTGATAGAAAATAAATTGATGTTGCTAAAATAGAAAACAAATATATGCCATATATATGTATATGCTACAATATTTTATTATTGAAGTTATTCTTACATTTACGCGCACACGCGGATACACTACCCCACACATACCCCAGTATTATAAGTCATTTTCATTTTTATTCATATTTAAACCTTTTATATTTTATTCTTTATTAATATTATTTACAATTTTAATAGGAGATGGTTGTAAATAAAGTTATTTTTGAACATAAACATGAAACAATTAACTTTTGTTTTATATAATAGTTTCAATTCCTAAAAATAAATGCGTTAAAATAAAATATAAATATATTAAACTTACATTTGTTACAAGTGATAATACATATTGAATGTAAAAGAAAATATATAAAGATATATTTCTTGTAATTCTGAAAAGACAATTTACATATTACATATGTGTAAATCACACAAATGGAGTTAATTTTTATAAAAATTTATATTTGCGGATACATTTTATGTCGCATGTTTATAATAATATAAACTTACCATATGAAATATATATATTAGCATTGTTGAATTCTTTACTAAATGCAGCTTAAGATGTAATGATCTAGTCAAGTTAACGTATACCTTTCACAAAATGTCAGTGACAGGAACTTATATACCTTCTTAACTATAGATACAGAAGCTTTTTTATTTAACTTTCTCTTGTCCTAGATTTGATTATCGATCACTTTCAATAATGTATAGTTATATCGTTATTACTCTCTCTTTTATGGGTTTGAGAAATTTTGCTATGACACCTTCCCAGCACACAGTCCATCACCTTTTCACGCAAGCAGTGATTAAATCTTTCTAAAATTAAGAGCACGTAATATCCCTAAGCGGTTGTCCATCTAAAACTCAATTCAGGCTTGTACTAACTGCTGAAACGAACTGATATAAGAATATTAGTAAAATTTCTTCATTCAATATCTTGGAAAGGATTGAGTATATTCCTTCACTCCTAATGTACAATGTATAGTCCTAATGGGCTCCTACAAGTGTATAAGGTTTCAAAAAAATCTGTAAAATAATGCATTCTTATCTCTTGTAAGTAAAATTAAAAAATATTTACAAATTGTTTTTTAAATGATTTAATTTGGTAAAATTTTAATTTAAAATATACACATATAAACATTGGATTAAACTGCCATTTGCATATCAATTTTTGGATGTGGTTTATAATTTAATAGTTCAAAATTATCAAATGTAAAGTCATCTATATCTTTAACGTCACCAATTATTTTCAATGTGGGAAATGGCCTCGGGGTGCGTTTTATTTGTTCTTCAAGTGCCGATATATGATTAATGTATATGTGACAATCACCCATCGTATGTATAAATTCACCTGGCTGTGATAAACGAAAGAAAAACCATTTATTGTTGTAAATGTATATTTTACAACTATAATGAGATGAAATGTACCTTCAAATTTGTTATATGAGCCACCATATAAGTTAATAGAGAATATGACGCTATATTAAATGGAACTCCAAGACCCATATCAGCACTTCTTTGATAAAGTTGGCATGATAACGTTCCATTACTTACATAAAATTGTACCAAACAGTGACAAGGTGGTAAAGCCATTTTTGGGATATCAACTGGATTCCATGCAGTCATTATTATTCTTCTATCATCCGGTGAGTGCTTTATTTTATAAATAACTTCCTTCAATTGGTCAATACCTTCATTTCCATATTAATTATGTTAACATATTTAAAGTATTAAGTTAATAATGATATACGTAAGTTATATATACAGGATGGTAAAAAATGAATCTGATATTTTAGAACCTTATACTATTTATTAAAAGGAGTAAAAAATGTCTAATTTTAGACGTACGATATCAAACACTCTACACAATAATAAAAGTTAATTTAATACATCAAAAGGATTGATTTTAGATCCTGTGTTAGTTAAATATTTTTAACTCTTCTTGATAAGTATTATAAGCATTTAAAATATCAAGTCCTTAAAATATTAGATCCTTTTACTACCACCCTATATACATATTTATAAACATTTAACTAATCTAACAAAAACGTGCCTTGTTTTTCGTAATTTGTATGCATATTTTTGTATTCCACGCCGTAATGTCTCCATTGAAATCCATATACAGGGCCAAGATCACCTTCTTCTCTGTCAGTAAAACCACATGAGTCAAGAAAAGCACGAGAACCATTGGAATCCCAAATATGTACTCCTTTATCTTGTAATTCTTTTACATTAGTCGATCCTTTAATAAACCATAATAATTCTTCTATGACTCCACGCCAAAAAACTCGTTTTGTAGTTAACAAAGGAAATATTCCTATGAAGATAATGGGAAAAATTGTTAAACAGTTTCTATTTTTTTTTCTTCAACTTATTTATCCTCATAAAATTTCATAAATAGAAATTCAAAGAAATATATATGAGACCTTTGAGTTATAACAATATAAGTAATGATAACATAAAGAGAATAATGAACAGATGATTTTGTGATGAACTTTGATAAAATTATTAAAGTCTAATGATGTTTATTTTAATAATATTCATACTTATCGCTTTTTATAGATTGTTCTTGTAAGATTATTTTTGATCTTTTATTTTTATTTTTATTTTACCTAATTTTATATTTTTTTAAAATTCTAATTGCTTCTTTTATTCTAATTCTGATCTTATTAAATACTTTAGTTCTTATACTTATCATTGTGGAAGAAACAATACCATTTGTTAAATTGAAACGCATCTGTGTCCCAAAAATCGAATAAGTTCCCACTCCAGTTCTATCGTTTTTTTTAACTCCAGTTCTTATTATTTTCTTAATCAAATTCAAATACTGATATTCGTCATGATCTTCTACCGTTTTCGAATTTTTAGATTCCTCTGTATTAACTTTATAATTTTGTTCAGACATCATCATTTCGAAGCGAACCTTTTTGAAGTAACCTAATTTTTTACACGTGTCCGATAATCTATAAGATGTGTATAAATAATAATATTTCACGACGATTTAAATTTTAATTGTTAAACGCAAACGCTAATATTATTATTAAAAATAATTTTAATCTAATTAAATATTGTATGTAAGTGAAGTTTTAAAACTAAGATACTTATTTGAAATTTGTAAAATATTGAACGTAACGTACGAAAAAGTAGTGTTTTCCATGATCTTAAACATAAAAGTTAATTAAACGTTTAAAATATAAGAATTTTAATATTCTAATTAAAATAAAATAAAATTGAGCTTTATAATTGAGTACAATTTTATTAAAACTTTATTGTAATTTTTATTGAGAAAGACGGAAATTTAAATTTAAAAAATCAAATTTCCCGCTAACTGTCATAGTCTAAAAAGTAGTAATGTTTTCGACCGCTAGGTTGAAGATGCTACAAAAGATGCCGCCGTATTCATACCGCGGTAGAGCACTATAGATATGAGTACTTTCATCCGCCATTTTCAGTCCTCGAGTAAGCGGAAGTTTTAAAAAAACGTATGTAGTGAGTGTTAGTCTGTAGGTTTTATCGTTATTTTTTGCAATTTTTTAAATTATTTGTGAATAAGTGAAGAAGAAATTTTATTGAAATCGTTTAATAGTCATTTAATAGTCGTAAACAACTATTAATATCTGTCTGAAAACATATTGAAAAATACATTTTCAATAAAAATTTCTAAGCTCACTACAAAGATTTTTGGGCTTTGTCTAGCCAAAATTGAAGGTATGTTTATTCTTTTTGTATATAAATAGAACGATCATAGTATTGTAAAGTTTACAATTTCTTATTTTAACGCTTGCTTGTAATAACCATCCAGTATTGACTGCAAATAAGACTGTTGAACCTCCAGTAAAGAAGCTACAAACAAGTGATACTCAGTTTTGTGTGCAAACATTTTTAATTGATGAGTTTAGCAATTGGATTTCTCGTTATGATGCAAATAGCATCTTTTATTTAGCTGGCAGCACAACTAATGCTGTAGCCAAACGTGTTTGTAGAAATTGTGTGCAATTTTTGACATCTTCAAATTTGCCAAATATAGATTTTATAAAAAAAGCAAAATATTACACCAAAGGGTTAAACAAAGATGGTTTAAAAGAACCATGTATGGAAACTTATAATTTAATTTTACATTGTGAACATTATTTCACTTTGTACCAAGATGTGATAATTAGAAATAGTAACTGTGATTTATTAAAAGTATTATTTGAGAAAATSAACATTRATTTTCCAAATTGTTRCTGTGTTAAGTACAAAATAATTAAACATTTTTTCAATGTTCCTTAGTATTGCGTGAACAATTATTATGAGAACTGCAAACGTCGTACCAAAGTGTATGGATCTGCGACTATGAAATGAAGAGTTTTAAACATTTAATTTATGCATTTGCTGCACATATATTGTGCATTGTTAATAATGATGTTAATTTTATTATGTATAATTTTATAATATTTTTACAACGGAACAAATGAATAAATAAATATAGATATATTCATATAAATGATACAAATTTATTTTATTTCAAATGTACAATTCTAACTACTCACTTATGTTATGTGCAGTTCATTACTTTTTTTTTTTAAATATATACAATTTTTACCATGTTTAATTAATTTCATGATTATGAAACATTGTATTTGCTTAAATATTCTGAAGCTGCTGAATACGATTTATATTCTTTTAAAATTGCATTCATTCTCTCTATTTGAGCCCTCATAGATTTTCATATAGATAGATTTTCAGCAAGTAAAGACATAATGGTCACTTCGTCAACAGATTTTATTCCACTTTCATACTTCTAAAAATGATACAATTATTATTTTTAAATATACAATTTATATATTTATATAACATAAACATAAATAATTAATGTTTCAAAATAAGAATATAATACCATTTTGCTTCTAGAAGCGACTGATCTTTTGTTGTTGTCTTCCTATTTTACTGGCATACTTTTCATCTGTTTTAAAATAAAAATAAGAGTTATTAAGCTTTTATTCGTAATATGTTATTCAATATATTTAATATATATTACTAAACAAATCCAGTATTTTTATAATTTAAACAGATTATCTATTTTTCAGAGAAATATTAAAACATTACTTACCAAATTATTACTGAAACGTTCCAAATAGCTTATCTGTGTTAATAAATCAATCACTGAATAGTATTTTGTAGTTTAATCTATCTTTTAATGTTAAAAATAGAATGGTTAAATACTAACATCAACTATCAAATAATTTTTTTAATGAAATTTAACACAATTATCAATAAATAATTCAATCTCGCTTGATGTCAACAAACGTGTTTACTATACAAAACCATACTCGTGTTTTCTCTGTAGGACTGAAAATGGCGGATAAGAGTACTCATATAGTCATATCTATAGTGCTCTAATCGCGGTATTCATAGTCCGCTCTTATACTGAAGTCCGCCTTAAGCATGGTCTTAAGCTAGCGTTTACATTCATAGACGCAATCTTAAGATAAAAATAAGATTATCTTAAGCGTCGGCTTATTAAAGCTAAGCTTAAGTCACGCATGATACAAAAGTCTTACCAAAGATCATCTTAATGTATTTCTATGAATACATGTAGTCTTTAKATTTTGTTATAGCACTGTAGATACAGTGCTCTACCGATACTATTATTATTATTACACGTAAATACGGACTGGTTAACCTGGCTCGTGAATGTAAAAATAAATTAAATTAAACATAAAATATTAATTGATATTTTTAGAATTATTTTTATTAAAAAATGGGAAAGTGTTGTGCCGTTTATGGTTGCCTTAGTGACCGAAAGGCAAGTGAGAATTTAGAAAATGTGGCTTTATTCAAAGCACCAAAAGTGAGTAACCTCCAAATAATATTAAAAATTGTATGTTAACAAATAATTGATTATTACATTTGTGTAGTTTTTAAATAATATTTGAGAAATGTTATATTTTTATTTTTTTTTTTGTGTAATATAGAAGTAATTAGTTTTATTTTTTTTCTAAAAGGATGTTGAAATGCTCAGTAAATGGAGCTCTGCTCTAGGTAAAGAATTAAAAATTACCAGTTTCATTTGCGAATTACATTTTAATCCAGAAGATGTGATTAAAAGTAATCAAGGGGTTCTAAAAAATGGCAGTATATATGTCTATGAATACGATAAAGTTCATTTAAAGAAGAATGCTATAGCAAAATCTAATGCTACTAACAATGCTAATAACAATGAAGATAATTATATTATTATTATTTATTAATATCAGATGTTTTTAACTTTGCAGATTATCTCTTAAACTTCTCGATATTGCTGAGTTGAAAACGTTTGAGCTTTCTAAAAGTTTCCTTAAACTTTTATTTAATTTCACGTTTTTCAAAATATTTTTTTTCAAAGCTGTCAATAGCAACAAAACTTCCCGCGTAAGTATTTAAACGAGTACTTCTTGAAAAGTAGCACGCCTTACCAGCAGAATATCTTGTCCCCTAAATTGATGCCGTTCTTTCAACATTACGTTCGGACT